ATCATACGAAGTAACCTTCACAGCGACCGAAATACCCGCCAATGTTAGACCGCGTTATCGAGCGAGACGATTCAGTGGAAGAAAGAAGTTTTCGGCGTGTCGTAATTGTCCAAACGAAAGTAAAAAAAAAGCGAACGATGAGGACGATGATCAGAGAGGTCAACATAACAACGAATGTGTACCGTTAGGAACAACATAGAGGAGCCTCGATCTTCGAGAACCTTGGCATCGCAGTCAGGGCAGTCGAAATTTCGGTTGCGTGAAAGTGTGCGCGTGTAAAAAGTAAAAGTAAAAGAAATTCCACGGGCTCGTCCGGGATTTGAACCCGGGACCTCTCGCACCCGAAGCGAGAATCATACCCCTAGACCAACGAGCCGACAGAGCTGTTCCTCTTTTGTGACCATAAAGGATTAATCCAGGACCAGCACAACCTACCCATAATCTACCATAGGATTAGACACTCAGCCAATAAGAAAATCAACCTAGACGACAACAAATACAGACGTGACCAATCCAACTACTCAACAGCACTCTCTATCAAGGACAAAATGGACAGGGATAGACTAAACAAAGACTACTCCTGGCTAGCTAACGACGCCAGGCACATTGACGAACTACGCAGAAGAACCCGCAAGAAATGATAAAATAGACTAAGTTCCGTTAAAACAAAGGTCATTAGTCACCAGTGATCGTCTTAAAACCTTTACACAATTTCTACATAGCGCTAAATGCTTAACAGCAACAGTAGTTTTAAGTTCCCCTGTAATTAGATCCTCCGAACCCTAACCCACCCATCCCAACTCCTCACCCCACACCTATTACCCTATTTATTTATTTATTTATTTTTTAAGTAGCCTAAGTAATATTTAAGATAGATGGTAAAAGTTTTTCTAAGACTCTCCTTTTCTTTCACCAACAACTATCGATATATGACTGACAACATTTAAATCTCTCGCCCTAAGAACGCGCCTAAATCATATTATATCATTACAGACAGCTATAGAGTTTATCCTAGTTGATAACTAATAGCTATAAATAAATTTTTATTACTAAAGTTAACAGTATTTTTAAGTAGGATTATGCTGTGTATATTATGACTGTAACGAGATAAATAAACTTACTTTTTAAAAAAAAAAAAAAAAAAACCAACGAGCCGACTTGTTGGACTCTTCCTTAAGTTTGCAGAAATCGACCGATCGCATTAATCCGCGATAGCTTATCGTCGCTCGTTAATTGCAATATTTTTTAAAAGCATTATCTATTCAGCCGATAAGCGTATCGCTCGCGAAATAAATCCGCGGATCGATACAAACGAGCGCGGTCGAAACCGTACGAAAATAATCCCACGATCGATTAACCGATCGAACCCAGGACGCGAAAGTTCGACGGCAGTAAAAAAGCGCGAAAGCGCTGCGGCGGGAGGCTCGTTTAGGCTATAATTGATCGGCTCTCGACGGCGTATCGACGTCACGGTTTTTATCCCGCCATTGAGAATTCCCCGGGAGCTTGGGAAGAAACCCGATCGGCCCGACAGAAAGAAAAAGCGTTAATTAGCTCGTTTGAATGGGGGCCGGGGATCGCGATCAGTTCGGAGTTGGTGCACGTGGCGCCACCTGTGGGACAAACGTTGCATTCGTGATTAGCGCGGCTCTCCCGCATGAATCTCTCTGCTCCGCCAGCAGGATGGATCCTCCTCCGGGTCGGGATCGTCCGGGGGGCCCCCCCTCGGTACAAAGTTGCAGGAGAGGTCGGCAAGATCGCAATTACTTTTCATCGCAACGGCGTGATTACGGCCGGCCTGACACGGCCGAGGTCTCAGCTTCTCGCGTGCATCGCCGTTTATACGATCCCTCGACGATCCAAACGAATTAGGATAGGGGCTAATTACCCCCCTCGAGGCTAACAGTCCTCTTTCCTACTGGAAGATGTATCTGGCCGGTGAAATGAAAGCGTGATCCGCGATTTTTCACGCGGAATCGGTGCCGTGCTAACGTTGATAGACATTGTTATTCGTGATAAAACGCTACACGACACGCTCGCAACCAGTGCAACCATATTATTCTACTTTTCCCCATTGCGAGGACGAAACCATGAATATCTTTTGACCGACCCATTGTATCTACGCGTTGTATCTATGCGTAAATCTGTTTCCTTCACTCTTCCTGCAGTTTTCTTATGCGACACTTGATTCGTTAATGCCGACCACTTGGTTAAATTGGTCGGTATATGACGTGTCGCAAACATGGGATACAATGCTCGTGAAAATCTTATAAAGCTTGCGATATAGCTTATAACGGTGCATCTTTACAGTATCTTCAGTCAGATCCAGAGATCAAAGCCCCTAAACGTTTAAGTTCATTCATAAAAGGCCCAGGGCCTGGTTAAGCGATTCGACGACCACTATTGTCATTGTACGATGTCCTCTTCATTACCAGACACACTAATGCTCAGTTATTGTCGTCAAAGCATTGTTCATTACCTCTTTCAACAACGCAGCATATGCCTTCGATTCACAATCGTAATGAATCTTCACTAATGAGTTGTGCGATGAGTTTTTCTTGAAATCGCAACGAAACATTCCCGGGAACGATTAAGATCATATGTCGTTTTGTTCCCGACACAATAGCCGGCCACGGTTCTGTTACCAGCTCCTACCTGTATGGTTTTTATTAAACTCTCATATGTCATTAAAAGCGGTTTTAAAAGAGTATATTACAATCCGTTCCGAAGCTTGCAGCGAGCATTAATCTCGGCAGAACGATGTGTTTAAATTATGTTTCAACGATAACGCGCCCCGGCCATGAACTACACATATGCGTGTTCGAAATGTGCATAACTCTACGTGTAAAAACAATGTTGCCAATTGATATGTCCCGGGTGCTCGTAAATACGGGATATGTTAATCAACAACGCGACGGTGTCCAGTTTCCTTGGGCCGCGAGGTGTCACGCTGGGATCCTTGCAACATTCCGTACAAAATTTACTGAAACACTTTTTTATCGAAATTTTTTGTTCGCGATTACCTTGCAACGCGCAAGAAGAGATCGGTGTGCAGACAAATTTAACCTGGAACACCGTTACCGTGTTCGTGTCTAAATTCTACGATATCATTTTCTATATTATGAAATTATTTCGGAAATTTTCGCAAACGTTAAAAAAATAAGCTGCGCAGAAGTTAACGTGTAATCGTTAGGTGAAATAAAATTAGGTGCGACATTAATGACCAGCACGAATGCAAAGAGCCACGATTATCGTTTTATTATGCGTGTTTTGTTCAATGCGGTTTTACCGCGTGCCGAACCGAACGCGCGCGCGGTCACTAATTGGCCCCGGCCGAAAATGTCTTCTGGCTACGGCACGCCCGTCGATAACTCCGATTTTCGAAACACGTACATTTCCATTCATCATGGAACTCTAGCTACATTTCGTGTAGCTAAAATAGAATAAATGAAAGGCTACGAGGAATGCCTGGAACATGCTTTCATATATCACCAACACAAACCCCAAAGCTGTTATCGATCATTAAGATCTCTATGATCTACGAGCAGCCGTGGTTGGATCTTCAAGGACACGCAGCGAGAACTGTGTTACTCGGCACAAGTATGGGGTATATTTCTTTAAACTAATTTTAGCACTGATCTGTGCTGTGAGTAATACTAAACAATCCGTACTTAGCGAAAAGCCTGATCGCCGATGGCGCGCGAGCACGCGAGATTGATCGATTATTGGGTTTAATTCCTTTTGTACTTACGGAATGCAATTGCCCGGAACAAATTTGGTGACCAGGCCTCCGCTATCTTGATCTATCTACGAGGAAAATGGTTTCAATAACGGAATGCAAGGTAAATGTACCTATTATGCAACACCGCTCGATTGTGTACCCGACTTGGAACAGTAGCACAAACAATGCACTAAAAAAACAGATACAAAGATACAGTATTAAACAGATGCAAAGATACTTGTACAAACACTGTTACGTAACAGCCGGTTGTAAAAAAAAAAATACGCGTGTACTTCAATTTTCTCATTGACCCGATTTGTGAAACAGTTGGCATCCGCAACACCTTTAGGTTGCAATAAAATCCATCATGGTACCCTACCCGAAAAAACCTTGTACGTTGTGTAAAAACCTTTACCTTGTACAAGTATTTAAACAAAATGAAAAGGGTTTGTGGATCATACCATCGGGTTACTATAAGTCAGTCATGGTTAAATTAGTAATTGAATTATCTACGTTGAAAGATTTTATAATTTGCAAAATCGGATAAAATTTCTCTCTGGTTTCTATTTATAACAATCGTTGTCTCATTATGCAATGCAACAATAAAGTGTCCGTCTCCGCAAACAGCGGACACGATGTAATTTCTTGTATCCAAGTGTATCGTTCATGAAAATCTCCTTTAAGTCAAACACTTCTCAGGAATTACGCACCCCATAGCTTCTGTTATCCTCTCCAGACCACTATTTTACCAGTGCTTGAAAGAACAGAAACAGAGATTAGCCGTGGTCCATACAAAGAGGTCCGGCCGATGCACCTCGGGTCTTTCCATGTTCCGACTAATCCCGTCGAAAAGAATCGTAAGCGATTCTTGAATCGGGTACGATCATAAAAAAGTATTGGATACTTGCTACCGCACAAAGATCCTACCGTCGATTCGGGGCAGCGTTAGCTTGTGGCTGCCAGGAGGGGGGTAAAGAAAAGGTCCTCGAAACCGCAGGATCCTTATCGACACCGTCAGCGTGCAAACCCGTGTCTCGTAGGTCCACGAGATCGTCGAGGGTAGGAGGTCCGGGCAGAGGAGGAGGCCGAGAGGCGAAGAGAGGGTACCGTGTTCAGGCCCCTCCCTTGTACCCCTTCCTCGGGGCCCGCGAGGATCCCTCTGGCCGTCCGGCAGGACCCCCCACCAAAGGTACGACAGGACCCACAGCCCACCTGTGCCGCGGATGGACCCTGCACGCTTCTCCGCTGATCCGACGCACAGTGTGCCCATAAGGCCCATTCGAAGTATACTTACGAGAGCGCGCGAGCCTAGCTGGCGAGCGAACGAGCGAACGAACGAACGAACGAACGCGCGACCGACCGATCGAGCGAACGAACGAAGTGGGACCGCAGAAAATAATCGGAGAGGTGGGGGCTGATTCAAGAATCGACGTGGACACCCTCGCCTTCCAAAGTCATTCACCTAACGGTCATCGTGGCGTCAAGAATCTTCTCCATGTTTCGCTTCTTCTGTCACATCTGCTTCCGTTATCCGGTCGGAGTCGAGAAATATCGTTGGACTTTTCCCGGTTAGTGTTCTTTAAACAGCTGACAAAAGCGTTCGGACCGCCCGGTTGCTTCTCTTCCAAGGATACCAAAGAGACAACGGGTGCGGGTTCGGTTTCGTTCGCAAAGCGATCCAGAATCGGTGCACCGCCAGAAACCGCACCGCCGATTTTCCCGCGCAGCGCCATGCCGAGCCTCGTGCCACGCGCCGAACAGTGAAAACGCTCGCCGGAGATTTGTGATTGGGACCAAGTGATCGTGATTACCGTTCGTCAGTGATCGCTCGATCTCGCGCGGACTTCCCAAAAATTGGCAGCCGACGCTACGGTGGCTGGGGCCGATCGATCAGTGTGTCACGAATCTGGATGCGACAGTTACGAAACACAATATGGTGACGAAGTGTTGGATAGTGTGCCGCTTTTGATGTATACCGACCACCATTGATACCGCCGTTGAGGACTGCCCGGGAAACGTGAACGTTCTTACTGTCAAGGTACGCCCGAGATTTAAGACGGTCTCAGAATTTTTCGCGATTCAATTTGTCAATTAACGTCGCATCGCGTCGCGAATTAAGTAACGCGGTGTCGTTCGTCGTTAAGTGATAGTGCGTTAACCGCGACTGATAATGCATTTATCATCGGCACCAGCCTCTCCGTCGTGCAACGTTCGTTACGTCGACTAAACAGAGCTGATTCGCTGTGCACACCTACGAGCGAGCAGAAGCGGCGAAGGACGCGTGCGTTTCGTAATTTGAGCGCGTCTAGCCGACCGATTTCTTTGTCGTTGGTCGTGTCGCGAAGCGAAACGCGTCGCAGTGCGTCCAAAGATTCTGACGATATCGTTCAGAAATCCGCGATAACGCTGCGACTTTCGCTTACCTCTACGGCCGTCGTCGTGACTAGGCTTAATTATTTAATATAATTGGCACCGATCGGCGCAGACCCGTATCTGTCGCGATCGCGACGATAACGGACAGAATATTGTCGGCGACGCGACGAGATGATGCAGCGGCGTGAATCCGTTGCGAAATGGATTCCGCGGCGCGCAGATTTGCATTCGATGCCGAGGCGAATAAACGATCCGTTGGAAAACGCAGCGTGACGCGATTTTTCCAACCTGAACATGCGTGAATATGTGGATCGGCTGTGCGGGAAACGCAGCCGTCGCGTTCCCATTTCGAGCGTGTTCGACGCGTTGCGCGATCGTTAGATACGAATCTGAATCGGGTTATCGAGGAGCGATGGAATAATAGCATCGGAAACAAACGGTCCACGTTGTATCGCGCGAAGGCCGATCGCCGGAGTGCGCGTTGCGGAACGGCGCTCCGTTTCGAAAGAGCGGAAGCTGCTCTCTGCTAACTGGATCGCGGTTACTTTGCGAAGATGAGCCCCACGAAGGGTGCCGGGTGCTCGGACTGGTGCGGGCCTCGTTTTAAAAAATTTATTTGCCTTCGCAACGACGGGCATCCCCGATGTTTTGTTCCCACGTTTTGGTCGAGGTGTCAAAGCAATATAACATCTGGAATATTGCCCAGACGACCACCACCACCACTTTTTCCTACGAACTATCCCCGTAATTGCAGCTGGCGACAGGCACTAAAAAAGTTGACCGTGCACGGCATACCCTGCCGATCCGATCGAACCGGGAACGTCCAGAGCTTTACTGCTCTCGAAGTATACAGAGAGCTATTTTCACCAATAGAAAGGTGCGTAACGGTGTTGTGCTAAGCTCGGTGAAGAAGACCTTTCTTACTTTACAATCTGGTCTCGGGGGCGTCCCCGTTAAAAATCGGAGAGCTTGATTGGCGAAAAAGTTGAATGGCACTTTTTAACAACCCCCGGCAGAAGAGTCCCGTGAACGGCGGTTAGCGTTCAGTCGTAAACGAAAAGCGGAAGCAGTGACGATTCCGCGGGCGTAAATAAGTCGCTAGGCGAAAAAGAAGAAAAAAAAGGAAAAAAAAACGTCGCGAGGGAATAATTCTAGTGGCGTCTTGTTTTCCCGGTGCCGCGACGAAAGTAACGAGGCGTCGGTCATTTAAAATAGTTCCGCCGTGAGAGACGAAACGCGCGACTTTCACGCGCATGCAAACGAAGAAAGAATCCGCTAATTCGACGCGCGGGTGCCTCTCCGAAGTTAACGTTCACGGGTGTCTCGTGGGGAACACGGTTCAGCGCGGCACGGGATCATCGCCGATCGGTGCCATTCTTTTCTGAAAGCGGAAGATCAAGAGCGGTAAGTGTCTTTATCGAGAAGGTCAGCTCTAGAAAGGAGGACAATCGCCGCGTCGAGCGGGAACGTAGGAACTCGGATTGATCCCTTTGAACGGTGGAACGTGCTCGCCGGTTGCACCTTCGCGTCCCGCCGAGTGTCTTTCCGTGGAATCGACGATGATCGAAGAGTGTCGGCGGGGGATTGCCGATCGGCGCGATCGAAAGTAACGAGCCGTTAGCAGGGAGTCGTTACGATTCACACGGTTCCGACCGGCTAGCGCAACAATCGCAACGATCGCAACAATCGCGCGAGCCCGTTGATAATCCGGCGGTCGATCCTCACGGCGGTCTTGGCGACGATGATTGTTAGCTAGACCGTTTCCCCGGCTTGTTGTTAGCGCGGAAATCCTAGGCAAATGTATCGGGTCCCCGGTGATTATTGTTCAGCTTTCGTGGCGGTGAGGCGCGATCGGAATCGAGACGTTTGCCCGGAGGATCCGCGACTTTCTCCACGGGGTATTCACTTTTCTTCCTCGATGATCGATCGGCGGAATAGTCGTAGGAATCGCGGGATTTATTAGAAATAATTATCGTCCCAATATTTTACGATCATTAGCGACCCCGCGGAGGCAGCGACTCCGTTAAGTAACTCCTAAACACGGTCCGTCGGCGCGAACGAGCGCGGCGCGGGGTTAATTAATCAACCGTTTTATTGTGCCCGCGGAGAGGCCGTAATTAAAAGTCATTTATTAGCGGGGAACATTGAATCATCTATCATTCTTTTGCGCGTCGTCGATTCTATTAAGCCGGTAAACTCGCCGGTATCAACGGTCGCGGGGCCGTTGCGACACGCAACCGTAACAATATGGCTTAAAGCACGTTGCAACCGTGCATCGACGTGAAACGCTCGAGTATGCAGGCACCCCCTGAATGGCTCACCGGATGCACACCTGCAATCAGTGCAGGTTGCGATACCTCGGGCGCGCACCATCGCGTCGTCATCTTCGTCCTCGTCGCCGTCGAGCGTCGAGCGTCGAGCGTCGAGCGTTACCAGTGACTATTGATTCGCCAGCATCTATCGGTAATTAATAGCGCAGAACAATCCCTCTGGGCCGAGCCCAAACCAGACGCAACAGGGAGAGACGCGCTCCGATCCTCTCTCCCCCACTTCAAATATCAACCGGGCCCGCAGGCAGTATTTAACGAGAATACGTCGTCATTTAAATTCAATTAACCGGCGCGCTCTCTCTTTCCTCCGAAGCTGGTCGCCTCGCTCGCTCGCTCGCGCACAATAAGCTTGCTCGCTCGGCTTACTCGCTCGGCTTGCTCGCTCGATTTCGCGCCGCGTCGGAGCAATCGTCGAGGTCCACCAAGCAAACCGCGACGATTGCCACATCGCCACGGATACGCCAGTTTTTCCGCTGGATTCGAAAAGAACGTTGAAGCAATAACGCTCTGGCATAATCCCGCTCGACTTTCCTCATCTTCGCCCGGATCGACCAACGAAAATTTCGACGCGTTACCCGGTCTGTTTACGATTCGCCTAATGCCACGCGGACATGAAAGTCTGCGACAGGAAGTCGAGGAGCGTTGCTCGCTCGGCGGCGACTTCTACGTGCACGGAGAAGTCACCGACAGGTTTAGACAATCAATTCTAACCTGGACGTACTCCGGAGCAAAGTTCTTTCTGCTCGAAGAATTCGAGTCTTCTTCTTCTTCGAGGATCGTCGGACTTTGACGGATGCAGCGTTTTCAACACCTTGGACAATTTTCTAAGCAACGATGATATCTCTGTAGCAGATGCAATTTCAGTAAGATGTTTTTATCTTTACTAAAGTATTACGTTGATCGCAAATCTTATGATTCGAAGACAACAACCTGTACATTACTCGATTGAACTTGGAATATTACGAAATATTCGTCGCAACTCTGTTACGAGTATTTTCATAAGAATATAAAAAGGAGTTGATAATTTACTTTACTCGCAAAACATCAGAGTTTTACTGTTTGAAGAGGAAATATAGAGGTACGGTAGGATTCGTAGATCCGAATCAACGTCGAATTAAACTTCTCCTCTTGGGAATCTTCCCGTTAGCGTGATGCATTGTTTTCTAATATCTTCAGATGTGACCCAATGATAAACACTCCATCGAGTAACCATGTATAAACTGTTTATTGTACCACTGTGCGTTATTGAATAAGCGAATATAGAGTAAGAAATTTCGCCGGCTACGGCATGGTGCCGCCATAAGCGGCCGCGAACCCGATGAGCAGCGGGGGAAAGGGGAGGCCGCTTAGGGAAAAAAGAATCGAACGTGGAATTAAAAGTATGCGTAGGCACGCCGAGGCACGGAGCGTCCGCGAATGAGAAGAGTCAACGACTGTGGGGTGTAGGTCAGGAAAGAGAGACTCCGTTGATCAAACAATCGATGTCTCTTCCATTAGCTGAGATTTACTTTCCCATTTAGCGACAGTCCGTCATGTATGAAAGTCGCCGCAGGTGACACGGCGTACCCTCGGGCTATGTATGTGGGTCAGTACTATTGTCCCATATTCCCGGGCTTCATTAGAATTCTCGATGCAGAGGCGGTCGTAAAAACTGTATCGTCGAGTAGTTTCACGAGCGATCGGACCTCCGCGTCGCCGGCGCGGCGCGACGCTGCGCTGCGCGGCCGCCCTATCTTCCCTTCCCCGATGCTCGAGATCTTTGTAGCACGTAACAAGGAGGGCGGAATGGAATCGGCAAGGTGTGAAAACGAGAACGCGATCCGTTTTCCGGACGAGCGGCCAAAGAAGGCGAAAGGAATCGGTCGGAAAGAGAGGGAAGAAGCAAGTGCACCGAGGGTTTTCCGCTCGTTGAACGTAACACGCACCGCTTTGCCACGATCCAGCGATTCGCGCGTACCGCCGACATTGCACAACGGGCTTCTTCTCTTTCCCAATCACGCGATCGGTGTTCTGGCCGCACGATAACGCCTGCATTGTGATTCTGTCGAACCGTAGAAATATGCCTGGACGTTACGCGACGTCGCGCGCGCGCGCGCATGCGCATTTTTCTTTTCCCTCGGTTTCGTCACTCACCGGAACGGAAGCTCATAATCGTCCCGGCGAATGACGAATCCTTGGAGAACGCCGCCGACACGAATCCCAGATAACGAGCCTAATATCGCCGCAGAACGAATTCAAACAAAGCCATTATCTTCTGTTGCAGATGAACCAACAGTGCAAGGTGTGCGGCGAGCCCGCGGCCGGCTTCCACTTCGGCGCGTTCACCTGCGAGGGTTGCAAGGTGAGTTCCCCTCGTGCTTGATCCTACAAACGGAAAGGTACATTCGATCAAACGAACGCGCGGATTTCGGTGAACGAAGCGTCACTTTCTGCGAAGTGGCGCGGTCGTTCGGGAGGAACGCGTCGAGATCCATTGGAAAATGTTCTCGAACGAATATCTCCCCTTCTTTGTGTCACTTTTTCCGCGTGTTCGCTGGTTGCCAGAGGCGGCCTTTTCCGCAGTTTCGTAAAGCTGAGAAACACTGAACGCTTTCACGAAATGCTTCGTGGCCGAGGTTAAACGTTTGACTAGGCATGCGTGTCAACCGAACTTCCGAAAGCAATCGCGTTTAGTTGGAACGATGGACAATTATTGCGAGAAGCTAGCCAGGCATCGGTGTCCACGAATTTGAAAGTATAGCGACATATAGTTCTAATAGATGTACGATCCTGATCGTGCGACGTAACGTAATTGCTCGAAATCGTTCCAACGCGCCACTGTTAGTCTTTTGTTGCAAGTTGCTACTTGCAGGTTAACGCTGGAACTGCCGGCGATCAAAGTGTGTTTAATTTTATTGTACGAAGAAATCACACTGACAGACTTAACGGTGAATCCGAGGAGTAATAATGACTATAATTGATATTTTACAAGGAACTTATCGGAAAATAAGTGGTCTGCTTAAGAATTCATCCAGTGAACAGCAAAGTATTTATTGAGATTTCGAGAAAGTTTTATTAGCTGAAGGTATAGTACCTCTAGTTCCGAGTACCCTAGTTACCTATATATATATACCTGAAGATAATAATTGAGTGTTTATTGTAGAGAACTGTCTTACCTATACCTTATATACCTGAAGGTGTAGGTATAAGTAATAATTGAGTGTACACTCTCTCCCTCTTCTCTCTCTCTCTCTCTCTCTCTCTCTCTCTCTCTCTCTCTCTCTCTCTCTCTGGAACTGTCAAAGAGTTTATACCTTCTATACCTGAGAAGGTAGCTTATGAGCTTTCTTCTAGTTTCTCAGAGTGAACACTCAATTATTTAACCTCAATTAACACACAACAGCCAGAACCTGAAGGTATAGTTTTACCTATACCTTCTATACCTGATACTTGATCCCAAAAATGTCTCGTAATCCGGAAGTGGCGGGTACCTCGGGTCATTTGAAGCAACTTTCTCCTTTACAGAAATTTTCTCCGAGGCACCGTTAACGAGTTATTAACGAAAAACAGTGACCAATGAGAGGCGAGCTCGGCTGGCGCGAGGCGACCGAACCAATGAGCGGAACCGGGCATCGTGCGCTGGTTGGCTGGACCGCCTCGCCTCGGAGTGGGCCGTACCCGATCCTTATTGGTCACTGTTTTTTGTTAATAACTCGTTAACGGTGCCTCGGAGAAAATTTTTGTAAAGGAAGAAGTTGCTTCAAATGATCCGAGGAACTTGCCATTTCCGGATTGGGAAACATTCTTGGGACACCCTGTAGACTATAGATAAGACTATAGTCTAGTTCTATAGACTATAGGTAAGACTATAGTATAGTTCTCTAGACTATATGTAAGACTATAGTCTAGTTCTATAGACTATAGGTAAGACTATAGACTAGTTCTGTAGACTATAGTCTAGTTCTATAGACTATAGGTAAGACTATAATCTAGTTCTCTAGACTATAGGTAAGACTATAGTCTAGTTCTATGGACTATAGGTAAGGCTATAGTCTAGTTCCATGGACTATAGGTAAGACTATAGTCTAGTTCTGTGGACTATAGGTAAGACTATAGTCTAGTTCTATAGACTATAGGTAAGACTATAGGTAAGACCCTTTGGCAGTTCCCCAGAGTGAACACTCAATTATTTACCACTCAATTAACACACAACAGCCAAAACCGCGACACGAGCGAGTGTAACGTAGTTCTGTAGCTCGATAACGCGCGCGATCGCGTCACGCAGATAATAGAAATTGTATCACGGATGAACTTGAGACATCGAAAGGGACAGATGCCGAGCAATTAATACCGGCGTATGTACATATTCGGAGCTGTATTCGCGGTCGAATTGGTAGCAGCATTGTTGGTATTCCGTATCTCGTGCGGGCCGCGATGCGAGCATAAAGGGGAACGGAGTCGTCGGTCGGCGGGGGGCGGCGAGACGAGCGAGGGGGAGCTGACATGCTACGATGGGCCTGAAAACGAAAATAACGAAACGAAACAATGTCGAGGTGACGTAATGGTGAACTAGGGCGGAAACAATTGTGGCAGGCAAGTGCGAAGCGCCGGAAGCACCGCCTCGAAGCCAGGCTCCCCGAACGGCCGAATTGACGAAACGCGCGCACACGTGCTGCTCGAGCAATGTCTTTCCGTAGATCTGTCCCACGATTAGCTGCGCGCAAAGGTGAAACTCAAGGAACGCGAATCCGCTGCGCGACGGGTCCTTGGCGGGGTCCGGCAACCGAACCGGGTGACCGATTCCGCGGTTAATCGCGTAAAAACCAATGGGAACGGCAGGACAACGGTTCGTTATCCGTTAGTTGGGGGGGGGGGGAATTTCAGGCTGTCCGTTTTTTCGCATTCGTTTCTATTTTTCTCGTCCCGCAGCGCGGCGTGAGTCACACACACAGAAAGAGAGTGAGAGAGAGACAGATACGTTTCTTTGCGCTAGGAAAGTTCACCGTGGCGTAATTAGCCGGTCTATTTATCGGCGGGTCAGAGTTTTCGAAAGGAAACCGTAACAATCGCGCTGGAAGGTTCGACGATGAAAAGGCAGCCGGCGCGGCGTTGCGGCGGGTTTCAAAGTGCCGTGCCGTGCCGTTTGCATAATCCCGGAGCGTGTGCCGCGACCAAAGAGAGGAAGGAGAGGAGGTACCATCCGAGGCACGTAATAACGGTAGCATTTTCTCGATTGTGTCATCGCTCCTGAAGCGTCGCGCGCTCCGGCTCCGGCCTCCCCTCGCCTCGTCGACCCGGTCGATGTTGGGAGACGAGACCGAACGACGTGACCGAGGACGAGTACGAGCACAACAACGACGACGACGATAAGGACAACGACAACGACAACGATGATGACGACGACGATGACTGAGACAAGTGGAACACGGCGGACCCCGGCGACGCAGCCCGCGCATCGGGACCACTGGGCCGCAGGAAGAGCTCGTTTTCAGGACAAACGAACCAGAAACGATTAATAATATAGCCGTGCGTACGAGCAGAAAAAGCGAAAGTGGATGGGACGTCGCGCGCCGCGTCGCGTCGTGTCTCTCCTTTAAAAGCCGATCATTAGCCGCGCGAAGGGCAGAATTTTCTAGCGGGTTGCACAGGAAGCTGTAGGTGTTTCGGTGCACCGGCTTAAATGCACGGTGCGCTGCGGGCCACGAGGCCGATCGGCGCTCGATGGCTGTTATAAAGAACGAGGTCTTAAATCGGCCGGGGTTTCGTAACGCGCGTCCGTCGGGATTTCTCGCTTCGTCTATTTAGGATAACGCGGCGATCGCAATACCGTCCGACGGAACGAGCGGTATTTTTCGGTGCAGATAGAATCGATTCGAAGTGGAACGCGAAGACGACGCGCGGAGCGTAGAACGGGCGAGAGAGGGGCGCGAAGGGGCGCGGGCTCGCGCTTAGGCAAATCAGAAAGAAATGACGTGGGAATTTATGCGAATGAAAGGGAACTATCTAGCTGGAAACACGAAAGCCGCTGCCGCCGCCGCCGTCGCGCTGCGTCGGTGTCGGAATCACGGAATTGCACCATTTGGGCAATTAGCACGAGCACAGTAGGCCGCACGCGCCTACACCGGTCCGTTCCCCGTGGCATAGCCATGAATGAGACAACGAGAGCAGCACGCTATTACCATCCGGCGACGACTCCCCTGTGCTCATTACGCGTTTCGCTGCAGTCGCGCGAACGGTCGCTCATCTTTCGCTAAATGTTTGAGCTCTCAATTTGCATGTAAATCGCGCGCGCTGTCCTTCTCCGTCCGCCGGGATGGAACGATGTCACCTTAATTACCGTATTAGCAGTAACGAACCGTGTTCTCGATTTGTTGCAGTCCTTCTTCGGTCGATCGTACAACAACCTAAGCAGCATCACCGAGTGCAAAAACGGCGGCAAGTGCGTGATCAACAAGAAGAATCGGACCGCCTGCAAGGCATGTCGTCTGCGCAAATGCATCATGGTCGGCATGTCGAAGTCCGGCTCGCGATACGGTCGTAGGTCGAACTGGTTCAAAATCCACTGTCTGCTACAGGAACAACAACAACAGCAACAACAACATCAACAGCAGCAGCAGCAACAACAACAACAGCAACAGCAACACCACTTCCAGCAAACTCTGCCGAATCAATCCTTGGCTCATCAACAGGGGAAACCCATGAGCCCGCCCATCGGCATCCACGCGGCGCAGCGGAAAGACGATGTGCTCATGCTCGGCCTAGACGACTACAAGAACTCGAGTTCGCCGAGCATAAGTTCCCCGGAGTCGCATAACAGCGACAGCTCCGTGGAGATATCCGAGCGGCGGGCCGCATTCTCGGGACACCCTGGTTTCCGGCCGTTGCACTCGCACCTGCAACCCTCGGTGGCCGATCTGTCGGCGCTGAGCAAGGAAATGATGACCTTGCCGTTGGGTTTCCATCTGAGCGGAATGTCTCTGATACCTCCTGCCTTCCTGCCGCCCCAAAGCCTCACAATGTTCTCTCCGTACCATTTGTACGCTTCACACGGCGCGTCCCACCCTCTTGTACCCAACCATTCCTCGAATCTCCTTCGACACTCGCCTGCGATCGAGGACATCACGAACGCAGTCTCCGCCACAACGACCACCACCACCAGCACGGTCGACGTCGACGGCAAGGAGGTTTGCGAGTATAATAACAACAATAACGACAGATACGCCCACAATCACAACGTGCTGGCGTCCAGGCAAACTTCTTCGCCAAACATAGACACCGGAGAAACGTACACGAAGAGATTTTACTTGGACGCGGTGCTGAAGAGACAACGAACGCAGCCGGGAAACTCCCCGCTGCCTATCAAGGGTTCCGAGGACGCTTCGCCTACCGGCTCCCCGGAACCGGAAGCGGACTGCACGCCACCACAAGACGATCCCATGGACCTGTCCATGAAGGCCACGACCATGAAGAACAAGACGGAGGAAGCCGACGAAATCGATATGGGGAGCGTGAGCGATCGGAGCAGTCCGCCGCTGAAAAAGGGGAAACCGATTGACCTGACAACGAGATCATAGAGATAAGACTTTCAGGTCGAGCTCTACGACCCGGTTAGCCCGGTTAGGCCGGTGTAATAAGCTTCGAGCCGATGTTTGTTTACGCAATGACGGAAAGCGATCGGCGTGTCGAGAGTTGGAAGCAGTTGTATCGATTCCGAATAGAACGCTTCAGCTGGTATTGGCCCGATTCTAGGGTGCCAGGGTAAAGGAATCGCGCGTTCGAAGGACAAATCGTTCGCGCCCGAATGGTCTCGCGGGAATCGCGCGATCCGCGTAAACAGCGTCGCGACTCGGCATGGCTCGAGGGAAGAATGAAGGATTAACGTCTCAATTCCGGGTAATCACGGTGAGGATCGCTAGTCGCCGATCGATGGCTGGTTGCGCAAAAGCCAATCGACTTTAACGAGAGTCCTCCGGTTTAATTAACGAGCGCGCGCTCGTTCCCGGGCCGCGGTAATCGTGCGATGGAGCGAGATGGCAGCGCGCGGCGCGGCGTGGCGCGGCGCGGCGTGGCGCGGCGCGGCGTGTGACGCGTTCGCAGAAGCGGGAGAGCGACGGAGCCGGTGCATCGGTTGATAAACACGTCAAACTGCGGGGTGCACGTGTTCGGAACGTGCGTTACAAACCGGCGTACACGTGTAGAACGTTGCCAACCGCTTTATCTTACAAGCGTTCGACGCCTGCCAATGTAAACGCCTCCGTCGCCACCGCTCCGCGCCGCCTCTTCTCTGCCGTTGTCCCAAGCCTATTCGCGCTCGCCGCGAAGAATCTTCGCCGATACGAGGACCGTTCTCGGCGGGAGAAGATCCGCGGGGTCCGTCACGGAGAAATACCCGTGTGGCGCGGGAATTTCGGTAAAATTCCTGTACTCGCCGGCAACCACCCCGGCAATCCGCTTTGCCAGCCGCGCGGACGATACTTTTCCCGCCTCCTTGGTCCGCGCCTCCGAGCCTAGACTCGTCGAACACAGATTTGCTTTTAGCACGGCTTCAGGACCTGCCGCGGTCCGCGCCAACCCGATGACGCCTCGCCGGCCCTAAAATGTTAGCGCCGATCGGTTGGCGACGAGACGGGGGACTTCTGAAGAATGTCCCATGACTAAGAATATACCGAGCGATCTCACACGTGGGAAAGGAACAGGGATGATCCCGAGATGATAGAGAATTTGATGTGCGTTTAGCTCCGTCTCCTTTTGTTTTGGAATCGGGAACCTCGCTCCGAGGGAACCGATTTTGTTGTTTGTTTTGTTGAATGATTGACGATGAACTTCGATTCTGATGAAACGTGAGACGTTTTTGTGGCGATGTTCGTGAGATTAACGGTCGTAGAGCTTTGTCATGTAATGGTATTTACGATCCTGTATATAGATTTTGTACATACGTAGGCAGTTAATGTTTTCCCGAAAGTATTTTATTCATTAATGACGTTGAACGAGAACGTCTCTTTATTGTCAACGACACAACGCAACGACGATTTTATTAACGACTTTCTATACACATATGCTTCGTTAGCTACTTGTTATCAAGGATTATCCAGGTAGTCAATAAATGGCCAGTATTTTATGTTTTGGTTGAATGTTGTTAATCGCATCTTAGACACTGATTTCGGACACGTGCAATTGTAGATGTATGGTATTTAATTAAGTCCCACGGGCGGCGCGTGAGGACACTGTAGGACCCTTGATTCGTACCGAAGTATCTCAATTAGCGATTAAGAAGGGTATGAAAGTGTGTAGATGAGACGCGAATGGGACCCGGGCCAGTACTTACTTGTACATGAACTAACGAATTACACTGTTCAGAGTAATTGAATGATCTTCGAACGAAGCGGAGGATATTGCGTATGAGAACATTAGATTTTGTCGAAGCGATGTCGAAGTTGTTATGTCGAAGTTATGTTAAGGTTATGTTAAGTTTATATCGATCAAGATTATTCATTGTAAATTTTGTCGATCATTTGTTACCATGTTCGAGCGAACGATCCTCCAATTATCCTGAACAGTATAATTTCGTTGTTTAAAATAACTTTGTAAATCGACCGCGGCACTATTGCGAGTTTTTAAAATATAAATATATTATTATACCTTTAATTTAAATCTCTCGGCGTTCACACGTTACTACAACTAATCTCTAGACTGTTAGGCCAATTACGAAGCCATGCTGTTGTTTTACAAGTAAAGTACAAATCCACCAATCCCTGGGCCCTATACTTGTAAATACTCGGTAATAAAAAAAAGTAATCTACTCGGAAACTTTCATTAGAGAAAATAACCCGTGTTTCGATGTATCGCTGCTTTTGGTGACGTTCAGGCTAGCCGAGAAACCGACTTGCAAACGCGTCGACCATTAAATCGTAGAATTAGCGATTCATTAGAGATACGGAAGCCAACACACTGCCACGTTGAACTACTTAAACGCGCGAAACTAGGACGACCAAACGCGCTGTCGTCAGTTTTATACAAACAACGAAGAAAAGCCAATTGAAAAAAAGAAACATTTGTCGATATATGCAACTGATTCGAGATTCGATGTATAATTTTAAAATTTTATGTTTCAGGACGATTACGTTTCAAACGCTTGCAGTACTCCATTAATTTTAAGTAGACGATTAATAACAATTGGAAATGAAAAGTGAAATAAAGATGTTAATGTTTATACGAAGTCTTAGATACATTTTTAATAATAAATACCATTAAGTTTCGACAGGAGTTTTATAATCATTTTGAAATACACATGAAGGAATACGAATGGAAGCAGTTGAATGCCTACAATTTGAGCTTTAGGGGCTTTCGCCGGCTCTGCTATTCCGAAGCTGCGGTGCAGCTTATACTAGCGGTGTCGAATGGAAGCAGTGAGCAGATGATATAGGAAAACGAGTATAATATTACACGCGTGTAAACATAGTAATCTTTTCGAGAAAATCACCTATCAAGCGCGCCACGAAATTCAAATTCAGATTCAATTCGATGTGCAGATCTTTCGAAAGATATATGCGCAGATGCATGCGCGCATCCGGTTCGTAGCGCATTGCACCGCGGCTCCAGATTTTTTTACAAAAAGATCCGTTATTTACTTAACTCTCGCCCGTTTAAGCGATATTCGTTTATCCACTAATTACTCGAGTTCAAAATTTTTTCGCATTTTCTAAAAGCGCACGCTTATCGTACTACGATTAAAGTCGAATCTAAATGAGCTGTTCAACGGTTGCAATGCGACACGTTACCATCTGCGGTTTGCTTAGTATTTTTATTTATTCGATAAGTAGTCGTCGTAAAAAGTGTACGAAACAAAGGGTGAGCGTGATTAACACGTTGAATGCCACACCGGTTTTACAGAAATAGTCCGTGGCGCCACGATGAATTTTCTTTTATGCGATACACATAATGTTGAAATATTATCTGCAATAGATAAGTTACAGTGTATAATCATGTTTGACACGTTAATTGCGGCAGGGGTCACTGTTTGAATTGACGATGGTAATAATACCAAATTTTAGATATTCACATTTGTTTTAAATTATATATATTTCTATTAATTTAGGCGCGCCGGTCACCGGTGGCCCTCATGGCGTCACCGCCAAGTTAAGTGCCGGTCACCGGTGACCCCCGTGGCATTCAACGTGTTAAGATAATCGCGTGGACTGTTTCGAGGGCTGCATTCTTGGATAATCGCTTAAACTGGCGGATAAGTATCTGGACGTATCAGGAGAACATGGCGGCAAGAAGGTAAGGGAGAATTTTACTCGAACGATTTTAAAAGAAAGCGTGGGACGATCGTTCCTCTCGATTTTCCTAGATTTCTGTTCGAAACACTTAATTAGTGTACGCAGAGCGCGTGGTTACACGGCTCTCCGACTACACAGGTTGAAATTTTTGGCTAACGGTGCATGGAACAAGCACGATCTTACTTACCGAACGTACATCCGTGTCACCGGCGCCTTTGATAGCCCCTAATGCGTATTCAGCAGTTCGCATTTTTCCGTAGATTTTCACATTTCACGTTTACTTTCGAGCGCGCCGTTGTAATACAGATTAGATTTCCAAGACATCTGTTCACAATTTAACGCATGATTTAACAAGCCCCTTGGGAACCGGTCTGTGTAACCAAGCATCCTCGTCCGCTTGCTATGCGGAACACGAACGATTGTTTGGCATACTTTAATCCCGTTCAGAGCCAAATCCTTAATTGCAAGCCAATATCGGTCGATTTCGATCGTTCGCTTGTTAACGCATACATAGCCAATTTAACGATCGCCTCGCTCGCGAATTCACAATCGATTGTGAATTAGTTCCTTAGAAAATGGTAAATTCGATTAATTAACAAGACAGCCCGATATAATGTTCTACAGTAATCCACATACTCGAAAGATCATGTAATATTTATTTCCCATCAGTTCGATAAAATTTTATCGTATAAACAAGTAAAATTAATAACCAGAGATACATGTATAGTATAGCATTTTATATCTGTATCCGATAAGTATAAAAATTATATTCTCGCTAATTATGCTTTGTGAACATTGAAGTTTAAATTCGTCTCTAAACTGAACAAGAAATTCCACTTTTGCATGTTCAATTTTAACAGTACATTTCCATGTCACGTTGTACACATGCAAATATATCTATGCACAAATCTATGAAAGGAAGGGCCTATATGTTTCTTAATGACCGGATTTGTCGACCGGATGATTAGGAGTGAAGACCTCGTAGTCTACTACAGAGAAATGGTACTCTCCCATGAGGACAGTGGTGGAGGCATGTTCTCCATCGTAACTGTGAGGAAGATTACTGTAGCTCTCCATGTTCACATTGCAATTGCTGGAGATGAGCAGATCGGCTCCTGCTCCAAAAATTGGTCCAATGCTGAAAGAAAAAGCAGATTAGGAATGTTCTAGAAATCTGTTAGATTATACAGGGTGTCCCAAAATTATGGTGTTTCCGGGAAATGTGGGGTTCCTGAGACCATTTGAAGTAACTTTTTCCTTTACAAAAATGTTCTTCGAGGTATCGTTAACGAGTTATTAACGAATAAACACTGACCAATGAGAAGCGAGCTCGGTTCCATTCATTGGCTCGCCCGCCACGCGCCAACTGATCTCGCTTTTTATTGGTCACTGTTTTTCGTTAATAACTCGTAAACGAAGCCGCGGATTGCATTTTCGCTAAGGAAAAAGTTGCTTCAAATGATCTCAGAAACCCCTCATTTTCCGGAAATACCATAATTTTAGGACACCCTGTATTCTACTCAGACTGATCACTGAGACAATGATTCTCACTCTGGATGATAGCAAATGGCGAATGGTCTCTTCACAATATCATATTTCGTGGGAGGCACGTCTTGGTTGTTCGTTAAAGTAAAGAGAAAGGCTTTTTGAGAGAAAATGTAATGTCCCTTAGCATTTGTCTTGCCCCATGGAGCATCACTGAAACCCCCACAAATTTCTCCCCGAGTACCCTGTATCATCAACAAGAATATCAATAAATCGTACAAACTTCATATTGCAAAAAGGAACGATTCAAAAAGTAGAACTATTTACCAATACGATCACATATGTTGGACAAACACCATCGCAGTGTCGGTGAAACGATGTCGCCGAGTAACCATGACTAGATGCTCTGAAACAGATTAACGTTTAGAATATCGTAATGCGCACAAATATCAGGTGCAAAGTGAACATACCGGTACACCAGACGCCAGCTCTGTTTCGGTGATCCGTACCACTGATTCAGAAGACGCTGGAAGCCCATCTTGTCCCGGGAGAGAATTTGCGATCCAGGGAAAAGGAACGGACTTACTCTCGGTTGTAGCCGCTTGTCCGCGCAGATCTCTGCGTACTTGTTCGGCAACGCTGCATATCTATACCTAAAACATAGCGTAAAAATCGAAAGCCTCCGAGGAAGACAAGATTTCCCGGCAAACCGTACCTTAGGAATTTCGAGCCACTTGAGCGATCGGGATTGAAAAATTCGTACCTCTCCAAGGATAGCTCTATTGGCACAGCTCCGGTTGGCTCTACTTCCTCGGCGAACACCTGGCTGTCGATCAGCAGCAGTCGAACGTGATTAATCACCCCTGACAAGTGCTGGCAAACCCTCACGCGCTCCTCCTCTGTCCAGTGCTGAGTAGGCTGCGTCACCCCTGCCTAGGAGCGTGGTCCGCACGGTTAAGCGTTTCTTAACTCGTTATTCTAAATTCTGATCCAAGAACCTAAGGACCCAAGGACCCGGTAATTGTATGCGACATAAGGTCGGTGACCTTGCACAACATACACATGCTCAGAGCATCAAGTCTTCTTGGAACTCGAGGGATTCAATGTACTCAGAGATGGAATAGAATTCTGAAGGAGAAAGAACCTGATATTTAGCCCAATTTAGAACAGCTCTCCAAACGTCCTCTTCCTCCAGGCCCAAGTAGTCCGAGGATATGAGTTTAACCAGCGCATCCTTTGGCAGATTGCAGAATGCTGTCGTTTTCACCGTATCTACTGCATTCTCTCCGATGAAAGCAAAGCACCTCTCAATAAAAGATGAGCATGCTCCTTTACCACCTATAGTAAATAAAATATATTTTTATTACAAAATTGTATATCGCATTCTAAACTACAGATAGTTTCTATAATGCGGACTATGGAGAAATGAATATTTATTAAGAGATGTATGTACTAAGGGTTGCAATAGTACGTACAGACGATCGGAGCAACTACGTAGGATCTACATTAAATTGCTACCAATAACGTTGTGATTCAAAAATATTTATTAAGGATAAGTCAATTCCATATTTGGTACAGTAACTGTTTCATCGCGTAATATTTACATCCATAGTTGTTGAGGAAAATCAATAGTATAAAACAAAGTACAGTTCTGTATATGAGCAAAACGCAGATCGTAGTGTTTTTATTGGAAGAAACATACCCTGCGGGCACAGTTCTTAACATACAAATGTTCTAGATTCCTCGAAAGGTATGAAATCGTTACAAAAAGGTAGTTTTCTATTCGGGTACGATATTGCCATTCCAAGATGACAGTGATATCCGGTGACAATTTGTATTAATCAATTTGTCATTATCTAATTCTAATCGTCTTCAGTTACGCGCCACGTTTAGTGTTCGAAGTGTCAACAATGTCTTCGCATAGTGTCCAACAAATATCACTTTTTGCATGTGTATACAATTCACACACGAGATCCTCGCTGGGATCAAGATAATGCGCTTGTGTTTATCCGGAGATGTCCTTCGAGGTTAGGTCATCCTTCGGTAATTAATTCGCCCCTGGATTAGTATTCTGTATTAATGTTATGTTGTCGCCCTTCAGCATAATGCGTCCCAGCGGTTTTCTGTTCTTCGTTTTCATATGGTACTCCTCAGCATCGTCCAATACCAAATTCATGTACTCGTCGAAGCCAACTATATGACCCTCGATACGAAGGTTCACATTCTCGAACAGCCAAACTTGCACACGCGAACGGTTTTGCAAATATCGAAATATAAGGTTGATGGGTTGTACCATCACCTTCTGGACTTTCTGCGGTCCCTTGTACGACATTTTTGTTATGGTTTTTCAAAAAATATCAGGCAACGCTTGATAAACGCGTGCTTCGTAAATGCCGGACGCCGGAAGATGTAGCGTCACGGTCCTACCAACTGCTGTCAGTTGTTACCACTCTTTAGTCACTTATGGAGATTTTTCTCAAAATTAAGAAGTATTTTAATGTCGAAAAGTTCATTCCGAACCGAAAAATTAAACGTGGACTGAGACTAGAACTCGGTGGGATCGGAAAGGAAATTTTCTCCTTGATAAAATTTAACAAAATATCTATATAAGTTTCCAGGAACAAATGTTTGAGTATTGCTATCACTGACGTTGTAAAATTTCCCTAGTAGGGAAACAGCGCTATCTGTATGCTCGTTTTGCATTAACCACCAGAACTCCATGGATAAAGTAGAGTCCAGAGTGGTAATGAAATATATTAATTTAACGTAAATAATTAACCATTCATTTTGATGAAACAGAATGTGCAAACATTTACGTAGATAAAAATGCACTAATAATTATGATGTATATGAAATCACAACTGGTTACTGTAACTCGTTATTATTATTCTTTGCGATTACTTTAAACATAATGCAACATTAGTTGAACAGTAAAATTACAGAAAGGAACTGTTCAATTGCGAAACAATCAACTAATGTTCGATCTATAAACTAGATCGTTAACTATAAATGAATAAAATCATTTTTTCGACTGAATATAAATGCATCTACTTTTCGTCAAATCTCAAAAACAGAAGCATGTTGTAAAATTGAAGAAAATCCGGAAGGGAAGAGCAATATAAATTATTTTACTCTCCCCGTATTTTCCTATAACGTGCTGCTTTGGTGGTAAACGTGCCAAACATGAGCAGCTTATAGTCGATAACTTACCGTATGCGCGTACAGAATCTTTGTAAATAAATGAAATATTTAACTTATTTAACTGTCCTGCATTTACCAAGAAAAATAAGATTTTGAAACCAAGAAACTCTTCAACTCCAGCATTATAAATATTTTCAACGCGAAACGACAAAGAAACACGCGAAGATTCGCGCAACCGCTTCAAACGTTGGCACATTCAAAAACAATGGTGATTTAACACTTAAGAAGTTCGACCGTTTCGCACTCGAAAATTCGAGGCATTAAACGTAGTCCGCAGCAAATAGTTTAAGTTCCTCGCGTCACGTTCTCCAAAGGGAGTCGAATCGGCAACTTCGACAATGGGAATTGTTTGATGCTTGAACTTTTAACAGGATACCATGAATAACTTACCAGGGACCCGTTCTTGAGCATCCAGGGCTGCAGTCAAAAGAGCACACGCGTTTCCGGGGCTGAGAGTGGCGGAGACGTGTTCCTCGCAACTTCTCCAAAGTTCCTCGACTCCGAGCTCTTGGGCGAGGCACAGCATCTCGAAGATGCCACTGTCCTGTAGCATGATCTATAGAAAAGTTACTGGTTGAATCTCGGTCGTGTCGTGTCTTTAGTGCTACGCGAAACTTTCGCGATCTCTTATTCATGGCGGGGCGATAACCATAGCTACATTTAATATCTTCAAAGCCTGAGTGGGAGAAAAATTTATTCGCTGGAAGCTGCGAGAAGCGTCAAAGGTTAATCGAGCGACTCTCAAGATTTACAGGAAAACTTGTGCTCTACCAATAGACAAAGACATACAGCTGAACCAGAACCAAAGCATAGACAGCGACGCTACAACTATTTTTCTCTAACAATAGATGTGACACTGATCCAAATAAGTCTATATTAATACGTTAAGAGCGATAAATTTCAAATCCAAAAATTCTACGATATTAAAGTCATTTAATTAACGAAACCGAGACTAGAAAGCTCAAATCTATTACAGGAAATGATTAGTTGAACTCTTTTGCGTTATAGAAACGCTAGCAAGTTCGTACAATATATTACAATAAAAATGAATTTGAAAACCCTGTTAAAAATTAGTGTCGCCCGTGTGCGACTGACACGGCATCCAACGTGTTAATAAAACATCGCAGGACTATAATGAAGACTAGTGAAAATGATTCCCAAGAATGGGCGGGTCGTCGTATTTCAACCCCCATAAAGCTTCCGGAATGATTCTTCTCCCGACCACTAGGCTCTCGGTCTCGAAGATACAAACGACGGTAATACTTGCCGGGACCCTTTCCGACTGAATTATTTACCTTGCCGGTGTAAATGTAATGTATGAACTGTCGGAATGTTTCTGGATGGGCGTGTGGCATGCGTACAGGTGTGGGGTTTCCGGGCGTGCCGATCCTCTTTGCCGCCGTAAAGTTCTTGCACCTAGGAAAATCAATGGCAAGACATCGACTTTGAAAAAGCATTAATTACCATGACGGCGAAGAACGCGAGAGAAATAAAGTAAGAGAGGCTCGTCGCGTATAATAGCGTGCTATAGGATCCTGGCGTGGCTGCGTGGCACTTCTAACGAACACCCACCACTTCGCCTTTCGTCAGCAGCGCTCCCACTTCTGCCAGTGTTTCTTGTTACAAAAGGGCTTAATTGACTTCGTCAGGAAGCTCCGTTGCCACCGAGAGCGTACTCGCTGCGTGCGCGGCCAGGCTTTGGTTTTCGTTCTCCTCTAGAAGCTTAATGGCGACCTTCGAAAAAAAAGTCACTTCGCACCCTCACTCCCTACGGCGAGCCGGGCGGCACACCCGCCGGAGCGAATCTTTTCTGGCACCTCGAGCTGGAAACGGATCCCCCATGACCCATTGGGAGAACATTCGATCTCGCCTCTCTTCCGGCCGCAGCCATTCTCTACCTTGCGCCACTAGGTACACAAAGCGGGGGTGGGGTGGGGGCGGCTTTCATCATCGACAAGTCTCTCGTGGAACGAATGCAAGCTCTTTCCGCGCGCCTGCCGCACGCGCGATGCACTCTTCGGAATACACTTTTCATCGTGCGTCCGCGGAAATTACTTAAAAAATATCCCACATACCCACTGCCTTCCGGCGCGCGCCGCGGAACACCGTCGAGACCGCTCAGAAGCAAGAGGGAAACGGTGCGCACACAAGATCGGATTCTGGGTGAAATATCAAAACTCGCTTGCGCGAGGAAAGAAACGCCGTTGCGGTTCGCGAGCGGAAAGAAACAAAAGGGGGGCGGTTTGAAGAAGCAGGGTTGAGGGCGGGAAACGCGGACAAGCCCTTAAACGGATTCTTTCTCGCTCACAGAGGCCGCCAGCATAAAACGACAATGGTTTCTAATACCACTAACCACGACGACCGTGGCGAAAAGATTCCGCGATGCTGAAAACTGAGAGTCGCCAGGAAAGTCGAAAGCGTACCCGTGCAGCCCGGGTGGGGTTTCGTATCGAATCAAAAGAAAATCCGTCAAAGAGCAGGCGCAAATGGAAAAGGCATGCACCCTGTGCTGCTTTGATATTATAACCAACGCGTTAACAAACGCTCGGCTTCATCGACAGAGAGGAAGAAAGAGTGAAAGAAAGAACGAGTACGAGTACGAGTACGAGCGAGAGAGAGAGAGAGAGAGAGAGAGAGAGGCGTGCGAGGGGAAAGTCGGAAAATCGTGGCCCGAGCTACCGAAACATGGTTGCCGAGTCGACAGAGGAAAACTAGTGCTCAAAAAAATTAAAAACACCAGCACCGCGCGCACACAGAAACGTGGCGCGGCGTGTATTTACACAGAGGTGCGGTTGCGGGGCTCCACCTTTAACAGACCGAAACAGCTCGACTTTTACGCTCTCGCGTGCAGTTTGGTAACGATGCGGGCTGCGGCGCATAATATCAAAGCTATAGTTCACCGTGTTGATTTCTACAAATTAGAGGCCGGGAAACGTTCGGGCACCGCGAAACGTAATCTCCGCCGTGAACTTCAAACGATTGCTCGTGAAAATTTATCTTTGAACTCGCGGGGTTCGTTTCGGGGCGGTTCGACCGGAGAAAAAGGAAACGCCCGGCACCCCGCGGAGCAGATTTTAAGTAGAGAGATAAAGACGCGGCGTGTGCCTCGTCGTGATAATGCGGCGGGGGCAGGGGCGAGGCGCGCAAGAAGTCGGCGGACGGAAAAGGATCGCGGTGAAACAAAAAAAAAAGAAAAAAGGAAGACGGGAGAAAGGAAAACGAGGAAACCGAAGGAAAGCAGAGTGAGAGGAGCTTTTCCCTAATCACAGGCGAACGCCCGCCGCGGAATCAAAGAAAACCAAATATCAACGAGCGACGCCGAGGAAAGAATAGGGCATGGCGCTCGCGTCTGGTGTGACGACGAGGTGTCACGGGGGTGGTAACGTAGGTTCACGAGCTCGACGCGGAAAGAGGATGTTAGGGGAAGGGGGCTAGTGGCGCAGGAAAACGAGGGTCGCGGCTGCTTGGTTTCACGGCGGCAAGGGTTGAATGTCGCCGCAGGCTGCGCTACTAACGACCAAGCGTGCGATTATATAGCGGCTCCGTCGATTTCCGCGCAAAAACCGCCTTCGCTTCCGGTGCACGAGACTCAAATTCGCGTCACGCCTCCTTGTTTCCCGTGACTTTGAAACGCCCGGCACTCACCATGCTCCATTATCGGCTCCTGGCTAAGGGGAAACTGAAGCTGCGACCGCCACCCCGAAAGCAATCTCGAAAAATTCTCCGAAGGACTTTGCAACCACCGAAGCATCTATCGCGGCCTGGCTTCTGATCACAGTACGAAGATGGAATAATTTATTCGAGTTTTACGAAGGCTATTTAATGGTCGAGGGGTTGCAGGTCGCAGCTGAGAACGGCGAACAGTATGAAGTGACGAATAGAAATTCTATAGGGACTTTGTTCAATTGCTCTAACTCTAAGGGTGGTTTTCGGCTGAAGGGCAGCTGAAGAAACGCAGTACTATGTATCCATAAATATTTGGACGCTTTCTGTAGGACTACCTTTCAAGAATTACTTTATACTTGTTGCTTTTATACAAATTGTTCTGTACAAATTGAAGTTCCGATAATTCATGTATGTTATCGAAAGTATCCATCTTATTGTGGCGGCTACCTCCAGACCCGCCAGCAGATGGCTCCTCTTCCCGCAAGCAACGATCCTCCTCGATTCGTATACATACAGACTTCGTCCTTCCTACCGATATCCCAACGTCTAAGCAAGGGCTCGCTAAGGATAGCCTTACTGATAAGTCCTCTAGCGGGCCCCGGAAGGAACGTCATCCCTCCTCCTTTTCTCTAACAACAGCCATCTGCTGGCGGGTCTGGAGGTAGCCGCCATATTATTTATCATGTACGAAAAATAATTATATAAGAATATAAACATATAATAAATATTATCCATCTTTTACTGTAACCTTCGGATTGCAGTTACATCAAAGTATTTACATCATCACTGCATTTTGGCAATTAAATGAAATAAATTAGGAACANGAGAGAGAGAGAGAGAGAGAGAGAGAGGCGTGCGAGGGGAAAGTCGGAAAATCGTGGCCCGAGCTACCGAAACATGGTTGCCGAGTCGACAGAGGAAAACTAGTGCTCAAAAAAATTAAAAACACCAGCACCGCGCGCACACAGAAACGTGGCGCGGCGTGTATTTACACAGAGGTGCGGTTGCGGGGCTCCACCTTTAACAGACCGAAACAGCTCGACTTTTACGCTCTCGCGTGCAGTTTGGTAACGATGCGGGCTGCGGCGCATAATATCAAAGCTATAGTTCACCGTGTTGATTTCTACAAATTAGAGGCCGGGAAACGTTCGGGCACCGCGAAACGTAATCTCCGCCGTGAACTTCAAACGATTGCTCGTGAAAATTTATCTTTGAACTCGCGGGGTTCGTTTCGGGGCGGTTCGACCGGAGAAAAAGGAAACGCCCGGCACCCCGCGGAGCAGATTTTAAGTAGAGAGATAAAGACGCGGCGTGTGCCTCGTCGTGATAATGCGGCGGGGGCAGGGGCGAGGCGCGCAAGAAGTCGGCGGACGGAAAAGGATCGCGGTGAAACAAAAAAAAAAGAAAAAAGGAAGACGGGAGAAAGGAAAACGAGGAAACCGAAGGAAAGCAGAGTGAGAGGAGCTTTTCCCTAATCACAGGCGAACGCCCGCCGCGGAATCAAAGAAAACCAAATATCAACGAGCGACGCCGAGGAAAGAATAGGGCATGGCGCTCGCGTCTGGTGTGACGACGAGGTGTCACGGGGGTGGTAACGTAGGTTCACGAGCTCGACGCGGAAAGAGGATGTTAGGGGAAGGGGGCTAGTGGCGCAGGAAAACGAGGGTCGCGGCTGCTTGGTTTCACGGCGGCAAGGGTTGAATGTCGCCGCAGGCTGCGCTACTAACGACCAAGCGTGCGATTATATAGCGGCTCCGTCGATTTCCGCGCAAAAACCGCCTTCGCTTCCGGTGCACGAGACTCAAATTCGCGTCACGCCTCCTTGTTTCCCGTGACTTTGAAACGCCCGGCACTCACCATGCTCCATTATCGGCTCCTGGCTAAGGGGAAACTGAAGCTGCGACCGCCACCCCGAAAGCAATCTCGAAAAATTCTCCGAAGGACTTTGCAACCACCGAAGCATCTATCGCGGCCTGGCTTCTGATCACAGTACGAAGATGGAATAATTTATTCGAGTTTTACGAAGGCTATTTAATGGTCGAGGGGTTGCAGGTCGCAGCTGAGAACGGCGAACAGTATGAAGTGACGAATAGAAATTCTATAGGGACTTTGTTCAATTGCTCTAACTCTAAGGGTGGTTTTCGGCTGAAGGGCAGCTGAAGAAACGCAGTACTATGTATCCATAAATATTTGGACGCTTTCTGTAGGACTACCTTTCAAGAATTACTTTATACTTGTTGCTTTTATACAAATTGTTCTGTACAAATTGAAGTTCCGATAATTCATGTATGTTATCGAAAGTATCCATCTTATTGTGGCGGCTACCTCCAGACCCGCCAGCAGATGGCTCCTCTTCCCGCAAGCAACGATCCTCCTCGATTCGTATACATACAGACTTCGTCCTTCCTACCGATATCCCAACGTCTAAGCAAGGGCTCGCTAAGGATAGCCTTACTGATAAGTCCTCTAGCGGGCCCCGGAAGGAACGTCATCCCTCCTCCTTTTCTCTAACAACAGCCATCTGCTGGCGGGTCTGGAGGTAGCCGCCATATTATTTATCATGTACGAAAAATAATTATATAAGAATATAAACATATAATAAATATTATCCATCTTTTACTGTAACCTTCGGATTGCAGTTACATCAAAGTATTTACATCATCACTGCATTTTGGCAATTAAATGAAATAAATTAGGAACAAGAGAATAATGCCGAGAACGGTCATAAACAGCGACAATTGCATCAGTTATGAGAATGAGTATCGTCCGAGGGTTAAGCAAAACAATGATAGTAGAAGTAGAAATGGTCGGAAGCACATTAGGATCGCGAGAACACACCATTGCTTTGACATCTACCATTGGAACCGAGAAAAAAAAAGAAAGTATGCAAGTTGTACAAAGACCTGGCACGCGGGGGATCGCGAATTCGCGAACACAGGAAGCAAAGCGAATGCGTCGCTAGGAGGACAGCCCCGCAGCTTTGGGATTTAGCTCGGAGTGCCATCGAATGGTCGAAGCACGGGCTTGTTTTTCAATTTCTTTCTGCCGTTGAACGGCGTCGTTCTCGTTTCCGCGGCGTTTCGAAATGACAAGGATTACAAGGGGATAAGGGGCTGCGAAGAGGGGGGGCTAGCGACTCTTTGTCAGGATTTTCACCGGACCGGAGAGCGCCGCGTAGAGTTTTGAGTGCGGTCGCGTATTGTCCATTCGTTTCTCCTGCGGACGCCTGTCACGAGCATGCGTAACTTAATTTTCCGAGGCCGGGTGCCGACGGGGCCGAGATGGAGAGGGAAAGAGAGCGGCCTGACGACAAAAGGACCGGGCGTGTTCCCTCCCGCGCCGATATCAAAAGGGTTTCACGGGAATATCGTAATTGACTTTACAATTAGCATCGGCCTGTCCCGTTGGAATGTCGCCGCTGTTGCCCCCCCCCCTCCTAATGCCGGCCGAGGCCTCCCTTCTTACAACAATTAGAATTCACCCGGCGAAAATTGCTCCCGGGACGCGACCGCGCGCCACTCCCCCCTTATTGTCCAACTAATTAGAAGGTTCGATCGATTCATTTCGACGTAACAATCCTCGGAGCCTCTTAATTAAAATTCATCGGTACCACGAGCCCGGCCGCCCCTTCCGCACGCAAGAAACTTCGATGACTCCGCGCGATCTCCGCTCGCGTCCGCTCGTGCCCGTTCGAGCAACGGTTTTCGTATCTGGCTCGCCGGGTCGAACATTGTTTCGCGGAAATCAGCTAGTCCGCTTCGAGTCGCGGGCTTCGTTCTTCCGTAACGACCCTCCGGCCCCGAGCCGCTACCAAGCCAGGTGAATTATGTATAGGTGTGCCGGTGACTTCAAGATTTTAACGAAGTTATCATTTCCCTTCCGTCGAGCTCCGGCCCGCAATTACCCGGGGAAAGTTAACCGCAGCCCTTTCCGCCGTGCCGGCTACGAGAGAAAAGTTTCGTAACGCGGTTACGCCGCGGAGCAAACTCGCCGGGATTTTTAAGCGAGCCCGCGGTTTTCTTGCCGGGCCGAAAGATATTTTCGAACGTGTACGCTCGCGGTTCGTTGCACGTCCGCGAGCTTCATCCCGCATTCGCCCCGGAAGAAAGAAAAACTATCGCGATAAGACCGCGTAAATATTCCACGTGCCTGCGTTAATTCTCCATTTTCCGGAAGTGCCGACACCCATTGTCTTTCCCCCCCTCTCTCCGTCTCTCTCGCAAATTTATTTTTTTCGCCGCTACTATCTCGGCTATTCTCTCCGCCCGGAAACACAAGAGCATCCCGGGCATTAATCTTCCGCGTGATTTCTCGCGCTTTCTCGGATTCGCTCCGTGCCTCCGAGGCACGGCGACGCGTGAACGATGCCGGCTGTTTTAATCAATATTGCGATTAACAATTAATCCGGTTCCACGGTGATCCCAAACGGATTCGTTTAATAAAATTTCCGCGGTTGCTTGTCCCGTTCCCGACGACGTTGTACGTACCTGTCTCCCCGGAGACGCCGAGAGATATCGGTTGGGAAAAAGAGAATCGCGCTTGTTCTCTCGCCGAGGGAAAACGTCCACGCGTAAATATCATATAATTAATTTGCGTTGGCCCGAGGTACAAGACGACTGCCGGCGGAACAATTTCGAACCGGCGAATACTGACCTCGCTTGTAGTATAATTCTGTGAGCGTAGACCGGCGTCTCGTCCCGTCCAAGCAGAAAGACGATGTCAGCTGTATCTTTGTCCTCCGATAGACGAGCCAGGTCCTCCAGGAGTCTGGGTACGCCGGCTAAACCAGCCTCGCCAGACACCCCCGCTGCACCTGGCGCCGCTCCCACTGCGACGGCCCTGGTTCCCATAGTGTTTCTATCGGAAATCACCAACTGTATTCAATGCGAAACAGCTCATTAATTCGGGCAAGCTTCGAACACCGTTTACGGATTAGCGAACTGCGGATCCTTGTGCAAAGTGTACTTCGAATCGATCGTCAGGAGAAGAAGTTACATACAATTGTTTCTTAAATTCTTTCTAACATCTTCACACATCCCATAGTAACTAATTTTTGTTATCGATGCACGAAATCCGCAGTTCCAGCAATAATAAAAATCGGAATAACGCCACATGAGAGTTTCTGTCGTTCTAGTTTCACGAGTTTCAACTGATTTTTCGATGGCGGCTTTGAAATCAAAATATGCACAGTTGTCTTTAATTTGTCTAACAACGAACATAGCTAACCCTTAACGCTTGATTAATATCGCCGGTCTGTGAGACCGCTACTAATTACTTATCCATTCTTATTCAGAATTCTTATCCAGAATTGTAAGAAATAACGTAAAAAAGAGAACGTTTCTAAAACACTTGCTTCTACTAGATCGAACTCGAAGCTCTACATGATGTAAGAACAATAGATTTTAACGTTTTTATCCAACACTTCGGTGTCAATAATAACGGAATAAACATCAGCGGTCAGTGGGACCGCTAACAGCGGTTACACAAGTTTTTAACAAATGCAATAGTTAAGTGTTAAGAAAGCTTTCATTTTTCCCAGTTGTTCAAGCGACTATGAAAATCTCTAATCAATAGTACAATGGTCTGAAAACGATTTCCACCGGTATGCCAACATAAATCACGATCCCTCGCGCACTGAGCCAGGCAATTGAGTCGGGACAATCCCGCGCGCAAAGGCTCTTTTCATTTTCTAATAGGCAGACCGCCATCGAACGACAGTCGGCTAGTTGGTTTGGTGGCCGAAGCAACGGGCGTTAATCCGATATTAACGAGGCCGCGAACAGAAGCAAGCCCATGACTGATGACAGGGCCGGTGAATGGCGGACGCGTGTCATCGTCTCGAACATTTTCCGGGTGGCCGTGTGCGCGCGATAGGCGAGGCGCGACCACGCGAGAGCGCGAGGGCGCGGAAAAAAAGCAAAACCGATTAACGTACAATCGGCGCTAATTGCGCGATTAATATTTGATTTGCGCGGCGTCGCGACACGACCTCTGTCTCTCCCTCGGCCCGCCCTCCCCCACACACTTCCCGCGGCCCCGCGGTCGCACCGATCGATGCCGTAGATTTTGTGTCACGGCGGCTGGCTGATTCCCTTTTAATTAGTTCGGGTTTTGTAGTTTTCGAGCGCGTCACGCGCCGATTGCGACGCGCGCGAATCGCGCGCGGGGGCTAGAGGCGGAGGCAGAGGGATGGAGCCGATCGGCGGCCGGTCATTTGCCCCGTCGCATCTCGCATTCCGACGCAGTGATTCGATTAAAAAGCCATCCACCGACCGAAGGTTTTGTTTGTCCATCCGCTGGCTGAGCAGGTCGCCGGTTAAAAATCCGCGGACGCGTTCCCGTGACGTCGTGGCCGCGAATTCGCGCCGCGTCGAATTCGTTTCTCACTCGAACGGATATATTATAATTCCACTGGACCGGTTTCACGCCACTTCCATATCGCGATGTCGAATACGTAACAACGAGAACCACTGTGTACGAGGCACCGGCGTGTGATTCGACCTCGAAAAATTATCCGCGCAGCTACCGCGCACGAACCTCGACCGCGACTGGCTCTCCCGGTTTGTTTTGGATTTGCGTGGTCGATTGGCGTCCGCCGCGTTCAATATCGTCTCCCGAATAAACAACAAACACGGCCGCCGCGTGCACGGGCACGCCGAGTTTCGGCAACGACCGGTGGTGGCCCGTCGCAACTGGAACCGCGTTTCAACGGTCGACGCCGGCGGAGTCGCGGACGACACGGCCTCGAGAGGTGCGCGAGAAACTACGGTACAGCATCCACGGCCGGATTTCTCACCTGGCGAAGCTTACGAACGAGCCGTGATACGCCCTCGAGAGACCGGTGACTAAGCGAGCCGAAACACACGTGGACGAGTATTATTTTCGCGGTCGACACACTGCATTTTCAGCCGATCCACGCCGAGTCCTGCGCTCCCACGGGGCGAGACATTGTTTCCTCAAAGTTCCCTGTGTCGTCGCACGCTCTCGCCAGGCGTCCCTCGTCGTTGTTCTACAACACAAACGTACTCCCGCGAGATCCACCGCGAGCACACATCGGAGGAGAGACGACGGATCCTCGCCGGGCCGGGAGAACAGTGAGAGAGAGAGAGAGGGGGGGAAGGGAGAGAGAAAAAGAGAAACAAAAGCACCGAAACCGGAGGAAAAGCCGGGATGCTCGGTTTCGGCCCGGAAGTTTCCAAGTTCACCGCGAGCTATTTCTCGAGTACGAGACGAGTTTTACGAGAGCTGGACCCAGGCCTGCCTCCTGTCCCGTCGCCGCTCCGCTCCGCGCCTCCGCCGCGCCGCAACCACGCCAAGACCCTTTCCCTCCTTGTCTCTCATTCCCTCCCGTGAGCTCAGGTGTTCTCGGCCCTCGTTCCACCTACGTCGATTCCGTCCTTTCTTCGCGTTCTCGCGTGGCCAATGCTCCTGCAAGATCACTCCCCCTCCAGCCGTTGTTGCCAGATCCTCTCTGGAGCACCGATCGCACGATCAAAAAGGATACACGGCCGCCGCTGCCTCATTCCAGCTAGCAACGGACGCTTCTCTGCGTCCGTCTCCTTGCCTCTCGTGATCGACGAAGATCCTTTCGACTTTTTTCCCCGCCCGTCTCTGTTTATCCACATTCCACCCTTTGTTCATCTTAAACGGGGACGCGACCCTGCGGTGTTGAGAGATCGGCGAAGCTTGCGAATTTTGTTTATAGATGATTGTTAAATGAAAGATTTAGCTTCAGCTTTGTTTCCCAATTTTTTTCAATTAAAAATTGTACGATGTGCCGAAGATATTCGTCGTTGACGAAACCCCTTCTCGTAAATCGTTGATCGAATTATAAAATTATTGTCGGAATTAAGAAAATATATTATTGATTCATAAACGGGAAACTATTATATGAAACGTAGCGTACGGGTTTTCGAAAATTTTTATTATCGTAGAAATGGTCGCAGTTCGAAGAAGGAGTTGTCTTTATTCCAGAAAACAATTTCAACTGTTTATAAAAAATCAAACAGTTGTCATATTAAAAAGATCGTCCGCTGCATTGCAAAATACTCTATAAAGAAGATCTGCATAAAATATGAAATAATTCTGATGCACATGAAAGAAGTTTTGAGGTAACTCTTACCTCCGAGATGAAGTGAGATTTTTTAAAACTCTATCTTCGATCGCGAAATGTTCGAATTTCGTCATATCGCATTGACATAACACTCTACACTCTTGCAACATTAACCCTTTGCACTCGAAGCTATTTTAACTGTAAATATAAAATCATTTTCCTAACTTATAGTGTTTTTATTTTATACGACAAAATGCATTTTATGCATATGAAATTGACTCTTGGGAGTCGCGCAACAATTACACTCTTAACAACGTTTTAAATCCAAACTTCGTTGATATGAAAATTATCTTAGAACGTGACGTAACAAATTTTAGCGGTGCCTCAGAGTCACCACTCGAGTGCAGAGGGTTAAGAAGATGAAAAAGGATCGATTTTTTCGAATCGTCAGGGTGGTGTTCTCCCGTAAATCGCATCAACGGCAAGACCCACTTGCTGCTACCTTTCTCTCCCTGCCTCTCCGCGTCTTTATCTCTTACCTCCCCCCACCCCCCCACGGCCACGCAGTTGGCCGCACCTACCCTTGTTTTTCGAGACACGCCGGGACCCCGTCGTGGGTTTGCTCGGTCGCGCGATATTGCCGCAATGCAGTGCCTCCCTAGTTTTCCCCGGCAAAATGAGATCGTCCTTTTATTTGCGTCGCTGTGCACGCTCAGCCTCTTGCTCACCCTTCCCGCGACCGGATCCGACGTGATTTCTCCGGGAGTTTCACCGGATCACGTCGCGATTTAGACGCTTGAACTCCGGCTTCCGTTACTGCTGCTGGCAGATTGTATTTTCGGTTCAATTTCATGGCGATGGCCGTGGCGTATTCCAGCCGGCTCTCGCCGCGGAAACAATGCACCCAATAAGGGCTCATCTCCAGACGGAGCCGGGAGTCCATCGGTGTTGTGTGCGCGCGTCATTTCGTGAATTTTTACTTCGAAAGTATCGGACCGGCCGGCCCCGCGGACTGTTCTAGATCGCAGATTGCTCCGAAACCGAGAATCTCCCGGCTTTAAACGGCCGAAATTTCGCTGAAATTATCATTTCCCGGACGGTAGCACGCCGGTGTTCCGGCACAATTATCTTGGAATCTGGCCGGGGTCTGCGCGGAATTTGTAATGCCCGTCGCCATTCCGCAGCGACGCGCCTTAACTTTCTATGTTTCTCATTTAACTTGTTCTTATGGTATTGCTACGTTCCGCGGCGGAAATGATAAATTACGGCCGCGCGCGTCGGCAGCCCGGCTCAAGATTTATTGATCCACGGTAAAACTTCCTGAACGCTCGGTTGATGGTAATGCAGACGCGCTCTGCTCCTCCGCTGTAGTATCGATCGACGGTGGAACGATCGTCGTATCGATCGAACGATAACGCGCACGTCGATAAATTCGATCTTGTCTAACGATCATTAATTACGCCCGTTTTAGTGACCGTTCTCTTTTAAATTCAAACACGTCGATTCGCAAAATAAAACTCAGTGACGCAACTAAAGATTTAAACTTCTCTTTTCCGGACTGAAAAATATTCTAGTAAAAATCATTAAAATATGAAAATGTTTTCAGATATTTACTGCAAATTGGTCGCTTTTTCAACTCAATAGTATGTGGTATATTTTACGTTGTAAAGAATAGTTGATAACAAAATAAATGACCGGTATTTATCGGTAATTTTTGTGGCTTTTTTACGTCATTATAATTCCCAAATATTGTTAAGTATATTTCTTTTTGTTTTCTAGTTTAACGTCGCATCTACTGCTAGGTAATTAGCGACATTGTTAAGTATTCTAGAACCAGTATTCTTAAGTATTATACGTGGTACTGTATGGCATTTTCAGTATTCGTTAACGTAACGTCGATAATAAAATAATACTGGTTCTACAATACTTAACAAATGGTTCTAGAATATTAGAATACATTGTTAAGTATTCTAGAATTAGTATTATTTTATTATCGACGTTACGTTTATTATACCGTCGATAATAAAATAATACTTCGAAAGTCATAATAAAATAATACTGGTTCTAGAATACTTAACAATGTATTCTAGTATCCTAGAACCATTTGTTAAGTATTCTAGAACCAGTATTATTTTATTATCGACGTTACGTTTATTATAACGTCGATAACAAAATAATGCTAGTTCTAGAATACTTAACAAATGATTCTAGAATATTAGAATACATTGTTAAGTATTCTAGAATTAGTATTATTTTATTATCGACTTCACGTTAACGAATACTGAAAATGCCATACGTTACCACGATTGCTATGATATCGAAGACAGAGTAATTACCAGCATGTTCATGATCGTATGTACCATGTTTACGAGCGACGAAGTCGCGAATAAACGTATTAATTAAAATCCATCATTTTATTAACATCTGTCGTATCACCAAAAATACCGGTGTTTATTTCAGTATTGGAATTCATACATTTCGGTGCTGCAACGATTTTGGTATCGTATCGTTAGCGCTGCACCGGTATCAAAATCCTATTAGTTTCAAGTGTACACGGTTTTATAAAGGCTTCTATAAACCGCGGATAGGTAAAACGAGTCGGGAATATTGTTGCAATAACAAGGTCGATTAATTATCGCGAGTTATCTCGAGTTTTCGAGCGGCACGAGTCCATTATCAAGGCAGCAGCAGGACTGCATCTCATTCGGCTGCAGCGGTCGGCGAAATTTCCTGCGCTTACTCGTCCCACCGGAACGATCGTGTCGCGGCAAATGTTTCCGCAGCGGCGGCGCGATGCCGCGGAAAATTCGCTGTTACTTCGGATTGTACACAATCCCATATAATATGGCACACATTAGCATGGTGAAGTGTCTCTTCCGGGCGGTGAGTCGCGAATTTCCTGGGCGTCATTATCCGGCCAGTTTTTCACCGTCGGCTGAAATGGAATCTCCCGGCCGACAGTAATAATCGGGGAAAGATCACTTAATGGCCCTTTAGGATAAGAGCCACCGCCGCTATTCGCACCTCCGCGAATCCGCTGGCAGCGCCTAACAAAATTGCCGCATTATGTCGTTTAACGCCCTCGGAAATACGACGCATCGTGAACGGGAGAGAATAAAAGTTGGTCGGCGGCGGAGGAGGAAGGGGAGGAGGTGGAGGAGAACGGTTCTGCCTAGCACGGCGGTGGTGCAATAGTAGGCAGCGGGAGGAGAGAGAGAGAGAGAGAGAGAAAGAGAGAGAGAGAGAAAGAGAGAGAGAGAGAGAGAGAGAGAGAGAGAGAGAAAGAGAGAGTGTTTGATAGAGAAAGAGCGAGCGAGAAGTCGGCGGTGGTGGAGAGAGACACGGAATGCCCGGGGAAGAGAAAATTACACGGGATGTCCGTGTGATAGAGCGGTGTGACGCGACGCTATAATACGGGGAAAGGTGTCAGCGAGTGCGAACAAGCAGGGCCGAGGATCGCGCTGCATAATAGATGCAGCCGGCCGCGCTTTAGTGCAAACAGGAACAAATTCCTCGGTGCACTCGTTGCAACAATTGAATCGGTAATCAAGCCGGTCCCGATAATCGAATCAGCCCGGGTACACGCGTAATTGAAATTTCGCAGTCGACCACTGCAAACATCCCTTTCGACCCCCCGCCCCGGTCCTCACCTCTGTCCGGGGCCAAACACGTCGAAATTGCCTTCGCGAATTTTCAATCGGTCCGCTCGCAAAATGTTGCCCGGCGCGGCGGAACGGGCAATCTTACAAATTGTCGCCGATGGAAAAAACATCGATCGCCGGGCCCCCCCTCTCACCCCGCGATTGGAACGGGAACCACGGGGGATGATCGATAGCGACGTCGATGCGCACGGTGCGCACCGTCGCGCGGTATAATTCGACGCGACGCGTTTCACCGCGCGAAATCGTATTTCCAGGAACGAAAAGTCCGTCGCGATGGGACGCGTCAAAAACAGTCCTGTCGGCCGGCGAAATCGCGGACACCGTGCCGTGTCGCTCCGCCGGGTTTTCTCGGATCGACGGACGGGAAACTGCTGTAAACTGGGGGAACATTGACAAGTTTTTGTAACATTTCGCACGGCGACACGAAAATTACGCCTCTGCGCCCTGCAGCCACTTCGAAAGCCCCAGTTTCGCGTAAATCCGGCTGCCAACGGGCTCCGTCTATGAAATTTTTGTTTATTCTAAGCGGCAGCGAACGC